ACCAGCACCACATCCTCTTGTACCACTGTTTGAAGAATTGATCTTCCAGAATCTGGCAGTAAGTTTTAGGAGCTCATTTTTGTCAGTCTCTGCAAGACAGACTTTTCAGGATAGGAGATGGACTAAAAATTAACTCCTAAAACTTACTGCAACATGGAGCTAAAGAGAAAATGTAGAACTTGAAAAATTGGAAAAACCGCTTAGTGAAAAGCGTTTATAGTTTAAAAGCAAATAGAAAGTCCTATTTTTTTATTTATTTTCTTTATATTTTTTTTGCGGATTTGCGCATGTACAAGGTTTAAAATGTTCATGAAATATTTTCAAAAAATACTGACTTTTTGAGCAGCTGCATGTTTGAGCTGCATTCCTCTAGGTCAAAGATGAAAAAATGGGATTTACAAAATTATTTTGACTTGAGTTTATTAATGAGTAACGTATCTTTTGAGTGAATGTGCAAATTTTTTAATGTTATCAGCTTTTACCATGTTATTACAACATTTAACGACTTTTTATTAATTTAAAAATTGAGAAATTCTTTCAAATTTAAATCTTGTACAAGAACTACAGCAAAAATCAGTTTGATGCATATTTTATCAATATTTTAGAAATTTAATTTGAATATTACCAGTACTGACTTCAATGGATTTCATTAAATTCCTTTGAACGCGACTGCTCAAAAGGGTCTAAATTTATGAAACCTACACATTCAAAACATTATTACTCTGAAATTTTTTATGTAAATGTTAAGTACTGTAAGGTCTTTCATGAAACTACATATGCTGGGGTGTGAATTTGATAGGTGCTTGATATAAAATAAATGGTGCTTGAAAAAGTCCGTGAAAGTCCTTGAATCTGGTGTTCATGAAAGAGTGGGAACCCTGAGAGAGGCCAGAGCTAGAGGATCAAGAGCACTTACTGACCAGAGCAGCCAGGAATTTGTTGAGTCAAGGTGGTATATGGAAAAGGAAGACTTCTGGCGGGTCAGAAAGCAGAGAATGGAAACAGGAGATCAGACCACCAGTCTGAATCAGATTCTTCAAGTCACTCCTTCACCTCTTGAGTTTTATTCACCGGCATTACTTGGAGAGACGTCCAGTCATGCTGACCAGGCTGGACCTTCTCATCAAGAGGCCAGAGCTAGAGCATCCAGTGCACCTGCTGGCTATAGCAGTCAGGATGTGTCAAGAAAAAAGAAAACCTCTGACCACCCAAAGCAAAAGGAGTAGATCAGACCCTCTGTCTGTTTCGTCATGTGATTCCTCTGGGTTTTATGGTCCAGATATCACTTTTACAGGAAACCATGTTTGGTGATGTAGTAGAGTTGCATGATTAATTGTTAAAGCTGCAGTCCGTAAGTTTTGACTCTTTGTCGCCATCTCTGTTTGAAAACCTGGAATTGCAGTTACTTGCGGAATTATCTTCCTTGTGTGGGTTGTACTTTGGCGCGGCTCCAGCGCGGATGAATCTAATGTTTTAAGGAGTATGTGTGGCAGTCAGTCACTGCACCGGTGTGAATCCTATACTTGGTAATCACAGATTCTAGCCTACGTCTTGGAATATATGACCCAAATAAGAATTTTCACCTGATATTGTCATCTGAACAAGTAAGTAACAAGTCTGCCACGTTTGTTCTGACCAACTGAGGAAAAAAGCATTACAATAGCCTAAATTGTGCTACCAATGGTGATTTAATCGAACGATCGATTAGCTCATATCACATCAAACCGTGCAAATTATTATTATTGTTATACTTTATTCTCAGATTATTAATGTTAACAACATCAGCATTGCATGACTATGAGTATAGTGTGTGTGTAGATTTCAATTTCTGTAGTCTAATCTCTAATTGTCATACTCTTCGAATTTCATACCAAAAAATTATTTTAACCCAAAAAGCAAACTATGCTCCCTTCGAACTGGTTTTCTTTAAAATACAAATCTTGTGTAATCCCAGGCTATCTGTAATCAGAAGCACATTTAAAACTGGAATATAATTTAATTTCCGTCACATGTGTTTCATATAATCCTTTCTGGATTACAATCCGCCATCAAAATGATTTTTTGACATTTAATTATTCTAGCTGCTGTGAGAAAAGGCTAACTATCTTCCACCTGCAGGATCCTCACATGACAGCCTAGTAGCCGGGACAACTTCTTTATGTTTACAGAAGTGACGTAATGACGCAGCAGCATGCTCGAATTTCCCACAAAAACCTACCCGTACCGCTCAAATTAGAAAACATTATTCTAAGCTAACCGTTGTGAATCAGGCTAAAGTAAGGCAATAGTTTTGAACACTGGCTGGTTATGTACTTGCTCAAATATTGATTTTGGATCATTTTTAACCAAAAAAAGTTACGGACTGCAGCTTTAAATAATTGCAATCTCGATTCAAATACCCACACTATCTTATTCCTAAATGACAATGATTTGACTGTCAATTTGATAAGCATGATCACACCGAAACTGAAGAATCGTGATCTCTATTTTTTACCATTATTATTATTTTTGTTGTTTTTAATGTGATTCTAAATTTATCCAGAATCATGCAGCTCTACATGTAAAAAGTGAATTCAAGAAACTAAAGTAAATAAAAAGTTAAACTAAAATAAATTAATAGTTTTTTTGTATTGTGGTAATATGAAAATTAAAGCACAGCATTCAACTCAAAATTCAACCATGAGTCCGTCAGGACACTGTTATGCTTATCAGCATATTGTACATTACAGTTAATGTAGGTAGCCTAATACAAAATAAACACTTGCTAAGTGACTGAAAATTAGCACTGGTGAGTATATGAAATGGTTGGCTGGTAATTTTTTTATGAATTCTATCAACAGTAATGTGTGATAAAAGAACATTTTAATATACAATAATATTTCTGTCATCATTTTTTTAGTTAAACTTTTATTTTGGCAGATTGTCGCAAAGATCTTTTGAGTTTCAGTGTGTATTTGTAGTTTTTCTCAAATTAAATGGCGAGAAAATTGTGAAGTGAATCTGAGTAGCTCAGAGCAATTTCATATGGACTGTCCTCATATATTAAGAGGGAACCATGAGCGTTACATGTGTTTGAGTTTGTGTAATAGACCAAACCTTACCACTCATTCACAGAGAGACATGCAGAACATGCAGACTTATAATGGACATGCAATTATTTCTGTTGTATGACAGTCTGTTCATCAAATTTTATTGCAGTCTCAATATGATATTGTTTATTGCCCAGCCCTACTCATAATAAGCATGCATGTTCCCAGATTTGTAATGAGGATATATTATAAATCTGTTGTCAAGAAAAGAAAAACTTTTAAGGTCTGTGGTTTCTGTAAAATGAATTATTTACATAATTACTTACATAATCATTTTTTTTTAATTTCTTTATTTTACTGTACAATGGTTGCAACAGTAATATATTTATTTATCTTTATCTGAAAATATAATAAATAAAAAAATAATAAATGGTTATTATTATATAGTCATATTGAATGGGTTTTCCTTATTTTTTCTCCTTAGCTGATCACATGCCTAGTTGATGCTGTTAAAGTGAAGTTAGAGAGCATATGGCTTGTTCTGGCTGAACACTGACCCTGTCAGCACTGCATATCTGAATAGTTTGAATAAGGTGACCCCTCATTTCCACACTTAGCATATTTTATATTTAAATGAGAGAAGTTCGAAAGGAATGTTGGTGTCACTGAGTGTGATAAAGCCAGTTCCTCTTGCCTCGTTGGGCTTCTTTGTTCTGGCTGGCTTTTGTAAACAGATTTGGGCTCATCCAGTGTCTCAGGGGTAGCCTTCTCTCATTCTCTCTTCGTCTCGTTCTCTCTTCTCTTGTATTTCTCTCTCCAGGGCCTACAGTGTCCTCCTTTCCACAGTCACTTGCATAACATTATCATTCCGAACATGCCACACCACAAAGATGAAAATATTTGCTACCAAACTTTCAAGTTTAAAGATACTGTACTTCATGCTTTCAGAAATCTAAATAAAGCTGCTTGCATTTAAATACTCTGTAGCTTAATAGTCAATGGATGGATGTCAGTCCATATATGTTTTATATATTACATAACCATGTAAGAAGATAAGAGAATTTTAATATTTCAGAAATGATATAAACTTTTTTTTTTTCTTTTATTTAAACAGGGTGGATGCAAACCAAAACATAAGATTTATAGTAAATGAATGATAAATCTGGCATCAGTGCAAAACAACTTCATGTTGTATAATAAAGAGGTAAAAACAAAAGATTTAAAACAGTAATACAAATGCAATGTATTGCAAAATAACCAATATATGAACATCTGTGAAGCTGTGACTGCACATCAGATTGGCAAACTAAATTGCTCTCATTATAATCAAAGCAGTTTGCAGAGTAGACATTAGTTTTCTTTTAGGTGCCATATTTTTTTTAATTAAGTCATAGATATACCTCAGTATAAATAGTATAACAACATTTCTACCATTTGATCGTGTGTGATTTCTGCTGTCACACAATATATGGCACAGATTTCTTAAGTACATGAAAATTTGCAAGACTTAAATGCACATCTCTTTCATTCAGTTATGTGGTTTATGATTGATTGCAGGACTACTTGACCAATGACAACGACCAAGCGGTGGTGGAGATCTGCATCACGCGCATCACTACAGCCATTAGGGAAACCGGTTCGATCGAGAGGCACGGAGCAGCTCTCGCGTCATTATGGGAGTCGTGTCTTGAGCATAACCTCCAGCCGCAGGGCAAAGATGAAAACACACCCCATGCCAAGATCGCCTCTGACATCACCAGCTGCATCTTGCAGGTAGGAGCAACACTTAAGGGCCAGAGCACACAAATGACCCTTAATGATTTCCCTGCATTTAGCCTATACACATGACATCAGATTCCTCACGGTAATAGTCAGGGTACAGTTGGTCCAAGAAGTGCAGCACAACCATAAACATAAAAAGAAAAATGTGTGATGTCTTTACTAAACGGGCTCATTGACATTCACCTCCTAGAAAATCCTGTAAAAATCAACCAATCAGACGATGGCTTCAAAACTCCCGAAGTGTTTCTCATTTTGTGTCTTATGCATCAGTCATTCTGATGCCTGAGGCTAAGACTACAATTATGAAGACGTTCACTTTTGAGAGCCCCAGAAATGTGGAAAGGGTCCATATTTGTCAGTTCTAAAGCAATAATTATACTCATTCTCAGGGAGTCTTAAGTGGCATGTCTCAAAATGGAACTGACACGCCTGACAACAACAATTAGCCGTAATCTCTTTTTAATTATTTCCGTTTCAAAAATATTTTTTCACAGGCATGACACAGTTTCTCCTGCTTTTACTTCACTCTCCTTCCAGTGGATTTCCCACATCCTTCCGTTCATTGACTCCTCTCTCCTCTTTATCTTTTTATCTCTCTCTCTCTCTCTCTCTCTCTCTCTCTCTCTCTCTCACAAAATATTTGCTACCAAACTTTCAAGTTTAAAGATACTGTACTTCATGCTTTCAGAAATCTAAATAAAGCTGCTTGCATTTAAATACTCTGTAGCTTAATAGTCAATGGATGGATGTCAGTCCATATATGTTTTATATATTACATAACCATGTAAGAAGATAAGAGAATTTTAATATTTCAGAAATGATATAAACTTTTTTTTTTTCTTTTATTTAAACAGGGTGGATGCAAACCAAAACATAAGATTTATAGTAAATGAATGATAAATCTGGCATCAGTGCAAAACAACTTCATGTTGTATAATAAAGAGGTAAAAACAAAAGATTTAAAACAGTAATACAAATGCAATGTATTGCAAAATAACCAATATATGAACATCTGTGAAGCTGTGACTGCACATCAGATTGGCAAACTAAATTGCTCTCATTATAATCAAAGCAGTTTGCAGAGTAGACATTAGTTTTCTTTTAGGTGCCATATTTTTTTTAATTAAGTCATAGATATACCTCAGTATAAATAGTATAACAACATTTCTACCATTTGATCGTGTGTGATTTCTGCTGTCACACAATATATGGCACAGATTTCTTAAGTACATGAAAATTTGCAAGACTTAAATGCACATCTCTTTCATTCAGTTATGTGGTTTATGATTGATTGCAGGACTACTTGACCAATGACAACGACCAAGCGGTGGTGGAGATCTGCATCACGCGCATCACTACAGCCATTAGGGAAACCGGTTCGATCGAGAGGCACGGAGCAGCTCTCGCGTCATTATGGGAGTCGTGTCTTGAGCATAACCTCCAGCCGCAGGGCAAAGATGAAAACACACCCCATGCCAAGATCGCCTCTGACATCACCAGCTGCATCTTGCAGGTAGGAGCAACACTTAAGGGCCAGAGCACACAAATGACCCTTAATGATTTCCCTGCATTTAGCCTATACACATGACATCAGATTCCTCACGGTAATAGTCAGGGTACAGTTGGTCCAAGAAGTGCAGCACAACCATAAACATAAAAAGAAAAATGTGTGATGTCTTTACTAAACGGGCTCATTGACATTCACCTCCTAGAAAATCCTGTAAAAATCAACCAATCAGACGATGGCTTCAAAACTCCCGAAGTGTTTCTCATTTTGTGTCTTATGCATCAGTCATTCTGATGCCTGAGGCTAAGACTACAATTATGAAGACGTTCACTTTTGAGAGCCCCAGAAATGTGGAAAGGGTCCATATTTGTCAGTTCTAAAGCAATAATTATACTCATTCTCAGGGAGTCTTAAGTGGCATGTCTCAAAATGGAACTGACACGCCTGACAACAACAATTAGCCGTAATCTCTTTTTAATTATTTCCGTTTCAAAAATATTTTTTCACAGGCATGACACAGTTTCTCCTGCTTTTACTTCACTCTCCTTCCAGTGGATTTCCCACATCCTTCCGTTCATTGACTCCTCTCTCCTCTTTATCTTTTTATCTCTCTCTCTCTCTCTCTCTCTCTCTCTCTCTCTCTCTCACACGCACATTCACTTACATAAGCCGCATATGAATCTTAGAGCAGAGCTTAGAGAGAGGCTGAGCTAGAGTGATGCATTCTGGGTAGTGGTGGAGATCAGTATTCATTAGAGAACAGTCTTATGCCTGAGTTCTTCAGAACTATTTGTGGAAGGGCTCTTTGATCTGAGCAGCAGTCACATATTCAAGTGGGTGTTTTATAATTAGCTTGGGTTCTTTGGCAGTTATTTGCCCTACGTCATGCCTTTTAAAGTTTTAGTTCCGATATTCAAGGACCCTTTCCCTTCAGGCATGTAATAATTGGCCATTCTTTTTACAGTAAAGGAAAATCTTTTAATTTGCTACAGAAGAAATTAAATTCATACTCATACCATGTCTATTATGTACAGTAATTAGATTCATGAATATTTTTTGAAGAATTCACTAATTATGGCACTCAAACTGTTAAGATTTAAACATAAATTTGAATTATTTTACTTTGAACATATACCAAATGTAATTGCTGTGTAGTAGTGTAGTGATAAAATAACTTGCCATTTCTTTCAATATCTATGATTTTCTACCTGTTTCGATCTGACATGTTCACATCTTCTACACTAGGGGGCAGCAGAACATTTCACATACTTTCTGTGTTCAGTTAATTTTAATTGTTTTAAATGTTTACTGCTCCTTTTCATGCCTTACATAGTATCTCTTGTTATTTTTATTATTTTTATTCAGTTAACTAAGCAGCCAGCTAACCCGTATGTGATCACACCCTGAATCTATTCAAATCTTTATTGGCACACAGAATTAGCACACGCTGGTACATTGATTTTGCTTTATTTGAATGAAACTTCTAATTTAGCGTCTCAATTCAGGCTTCAATGATTGTATTGGTCGTAACTAAATGCAGGTCTAAAGTTGGGTTGATTTGTTTTTTTTCCAGAATTACAACAGGCCTCCAGTGATGGCATTAGCGGTCCCTGTGGCAGTGCGGTTCTTGCAGCAGGGGAACCAAGAGCTGAGCAGAAACATGTCCAGCTACTTGTCACTGGCTGCCATTGCTAAAGCTGAACTCCTGGCCCAACACACAGAGGCCATCACCTGCAGCGTGCTAGGAGGTAGGGGTGCAACATGGGGTCCAGGGGGCGGGAGGGGTCAGGGTAGGTCACTGACATGCCATAGACACACGAAATCCTCTGGGTTATGGTGATTTCACCAAGTGCCACTTGTTCCTGGATCAACACAGGGATGTAACAGTCACATTGTGTCCTAACCAGGCACGGCGTGTTAAAGTGACAAGTGATGAAAGGCCTTTATCTTATTTTTATCTTTCTCTTCAATTTAAATCGGAGGTCTTTTCCTAACCAACCACAATTGTAAGCGAAAGGAACATTTGACGATAGCTAAAAGGGATGCTTCAATTCTGTCATCGTATACTCATCATTTACCCTCATGTTGTTCCAAAAGAGCATATTTTGCAGAATGTTGGTAACCAGTTTTTGTGACTATTCATAGACATTGAATGCTCAAAAAAAAGTTGTGTTCCACAGAAGAAAGTTAATTTGGGTAACTCTGCCCATCTTGAAATCTCATTTGTCCCTCTTCATAACTTTACAATAAACCAACACATTCTCACTCCCAATTTGACACATTTTGTCACATTTTTAACTCCCAGGGTACACCTTTCGATATGCATTGTGAGTGTGCTCCATTTCTTTCAATGAGAAACCTTTGGCAGCATACACAGACACGATGCACATGGGAATATCGCTACGATGAAATTACATATTGGAGTATTAATAAATACCTGTAAACATGCCTGCAAACTAGTCGCTTTTCGGCGAAATTCACCGTTTTGAATCAAAATATGTCATTCATGTGAATCGTTTAGATTCTAAGAGTTTTTGTTTGGGGGGGGGTCTGGGTGGAGAGAGAGAGAGAAATTGCAAGCTCGTAGACAGGAGTGTGTTCGACCAAAGTCCCTTTCTCAGTTCGACATGAAGCAGCAATACGCAGACAGATCGCTGTATGACATGAAAGCACCACGAGAGCTACAGAGAGCAGATGGCTCCGCATGCTTTCGAATCGCTCTCGTGGTACTTTGATGTCATACAGCGATCGGTCTGCACGCTGCTGCTTCAAATCGAATACATCTCATCTCACAGCCGGTCCGTTTTGATGGCACACTTACGCTCACATCCGCATGTAAACATGTCGTCGGCATGGAAGTTCTTCATTGTGAGTTAAACAGACACAAAGTTCGCAATTTGTAATACAATATTGACTGTTTTTGCTCAAGTTCGCTGACGAAGTTTCAATCAAAGCCACAGCAGAACTGTTGTGTGTCTCCGAGCAACACAGCAGTGTTTCGATACTGAATGAATCCACGTTTTTGAATGAATCAAGTGAGTCAATGATTCAGTAACCCATTCATAAAGACAGTAGTGACTTGCCACGTTTTTGAATGAATCAGCCATTTGAATAAATGGCTAATGACTCGCTCATTTAAAAAAATGTACCGTCATCTACTGGTGGTTTGGTTTAATATTTATAAGTATCGCATTTTTCCCAATATTGTTAACTTTTATGTTCAAAAATATTTAAAATATTAATCTTATAAAATAATTTATGCATTTGAAATTTTGTGGTGTAAATGCATTTATGGCACCTCAGCTTCATCAAACTGTCTGTGTAAATACATGTAATGACACTTCAGGTGCAGCTTCTGTTTCCTCTGCAGTGAAAAGATGGAGTTTGTTGATAGTATGCACACTCTAATGTGAACATTAAAGGGGTCATATGATGCTGCTAAAAGGAACATTATTTTGTGTATTTGGTGTAATGAAATGTGTTTATGCGGTTTAAAATAAAAAAACAAACAAATTATTTTCCACATACTGTACATTATAGTTTCTCCTCTATGCCCCGCCTTTTTGAAACGCGTCGATTTTTACAAAGCTCATCGGTCTGAAAAAGCGAGGTGTGCTGTGATTGGCCAGCTATCCAGTGCGTTGTGATTGGCCGAATACCTCAAGCGTGAGACAGAAATGTTACGCCCCTCACCATACTGTTGTATTCCCTCAGCGACCAGCACGGATCAGCTCTAGGCATGACGAAGCGGATATCGTCCGCTTTTGGAAGACCAAAGTAGTTTCGATTTCACAACGAAGCACACAGCGTTTTCAGGATATGGCAACAATACTACAGTGAGAATAAAAGTTACGCCTTCTTTCTTTGCGTGAACATTTGGGCGGCGTTATGCAATATTTCCACATAGTGAGGTAGATATGTGGGGGCGTGTTAGAACGAGCCATTTTAGGTAGGCGTGGCCAACTCTTAACTTTTATAAAGAATATCTCTTTGGATTTGAGACTTTAGTCTTTGCAACTTTACAGATCTTCTTTATGCACCAAGAGCTTGTAACACTCCAAAGAGAAAGGAAAAATTGAAATCGCATGATATGACCCCTTTAAAATTTTCAAAAATAAATTACTCCACTGCTCACAAAGAGAAGTATGAACACCGGTGACAACAGAGTTGCACTTTTCAAAACGTTTGTGGTATAAATGTGCTTTTTTTTTACTTGAAGCTTATGTTGTCTTTTTCCTTTATTTTGTTGTCAGAGTGCACCGGAACGCTTCATTTACATGTTAAATTCTCAAAAATTTTCTTCTGGGGGGATGCCTCCAGACCCCCCTACAAGGGTTATATTCCGAACTAGTGTTGTCAAAAGACCTGGTATTTCGGTACCAAGTCGGTACTAAAAAAATGAAAACGTTACAGTACCAGGTTTTTTTAAGTACCGGTGGTACCGAGTACCTGATCAACCCGGTTCTTGATGCGCTATCCGAAAGGTGCACAGATGCGTTCTCTTCATAAAAGCACTGAGACATGGCGACCTCAAAAGGAGGAAACACATCAAACTAACAAAACACTTTGAATACTGAAATTTTGGTACCGTGACAACACTATTCCGAACTATGTCATCTTTTTTTCTCTCACCTCCTGTGAGTTTGCAGGTATATGTAAATAAATATTTATACAATACATACCTGTGATTTTGCCTGTTAAGTGTTTGTTGTTGAGAAGTGGATTGGTTTAGGATAGGTGTGGGGTTAGATGCCCCAATACCTCTGAAAGTACGAATATTTATACACTTTACATTTTTTTAAAATAAAATTTATACTTTTACACATGCGTCATGACCTGACGCTAAAGGGGTACCCTGAGTGTTAAAAAGTGATGCCGAGGGTCAGTATGTGACGAGTTAGGAGTAAGAACGCCCTGAATAAACATGAAATATTTTCTGATTGGCTGTGTATCATGGTACACCAGTTTCACATTTATTCTAGACAGACAAACTTGTCGCATTGTTCCTAGTTAGGAAACATTGTTAGGTGTAGCATTGGGTTTAGTGCTGGGGTAGTAAATTGTTCGGTTTATGGCGGTGTTTATTTGACAAGAATATTGTTCCAGGACCAACAACAGATGTTGATCCAAGAACACGTCCTACTTGGCAAAGTCAACGTCACCGTATGCTGTATTTGATTACGCAGTAGAATAGAATGGTGAGTCATGGAAGGTAAAAAACAATCATATTCCCCATGATTCAGTGCTTTCCAGACTGTGCACCTCATTGCCTTTGTGGTAATTAGAGAAGCAGTCCTATTGTGTCTTTATAAGAATATCCACACACAGAGACAAGTGACTGTTTAGTTTCCACAGCACTAGTGTGCACAGCATTGGCGTAGTGTAGATGACATGTGGTCTTCCTGGCTCGCAATGTGTGGTTCTGGTTTCTGGTCCCAAAACCACACAGTTAAATGGGTCATTTGAGACATCCACAATGAAACAAACTTTATTACATCCATTGTTCTTCTAAATTGATTGAAGTACATGTTATTGAGTGTTTTTTGAATGAAAGATTAGCATTTTTTATGAGTCATACGAGGAATGGATGGTATATTTAACATGGTGTATGTGCCAAAATACACTATCATGTCAGCTGTTCAAACACTCCACTCACGCAAATTGTTGCCCATCGAAGATAAAGATCTCATTGGTGTGGTTCTACTTCTTGTGTTAAAACTCTGTCATAAAGGAAGGGTCGATTGGGGAGTTTGTTGGCCAGAGTCATCAGAGGCGAAAAACAAACATGGCTTCATTAGGGAACAGTGTGGTCAAATTTACGTTGACCTCAGTTCATTGTCATATATTGTAGTTTGGGTCAGCCAAAGGACAACAATATTGTAAATGCCTTTTAACTGAGCCACAGAATAAATACTGAAACACAGAAATGTTGGTAAAGCTTGGTCATGATACAGATAAGGACATAAATCTGATATCTTCATATTCTGCAACAGTTTTATAATTTCTTAGAGTTGGATCAAAAAAATTGTACTGTCGGACAGCTACAAGTGATATTCCCTCTTAAAGAGATCACCTGGAAAAATGTTGTAAGTGTTCTATTCGACCACCTGGCATGTTCATTACTCAGGGAAAAAGTGATGGATAATCTTTTGACTATCTGCATAAAGTCTGGTATGCTTGTTCTTATTCTGGCCAAAAAGCACCCATTTTGAGGGAAGAGACTGTGTGATCTACAAATAAAAAAACACCACCTGATTATTGAACCGTACAAACACTGGCGTCCTTTGATATGCCATTTTTGATTTGTTGTGAGCATGGCACTGCAAAATCACAATAGCCTGAGAGCAACACCATCAGCCCTTTTCTTTTGGCTTCCTGGTTCAATCTCTTCACCGCACATCATTAAAATAGTTACCACAGACCTGAGATATTATTTGAGATATTTGTTTGTTCAGCAAATGAACCAAATATTCATCCAATCATGCCACAGTGGTTTACAGAGAGGTTCCTCATTTTACTTTCTACATTCTATTTCTGCATTCAACATTCTGCTTCTTGCCAACACAAAAAAACATTGCCTCAGATGAAGAAGGTCCCTCTTTGGTTTTAATTTGTATTATTCAACTGTTCATGGGGGTTCGTGATCTAAATGAAGTGTATTGTCTTAAAACTGGGCTTGCTGCTTGACCATCATGTCCATCCAAGAACTGGTTACGTAACTCTCAGTTTTGAAACTGTCATGACAACTTCCACTCAACAGTTGCCCAGGTTTTTGGAGCCTGAGGTACAGTCAACAGTTGGCTGACCACTACAGCGAAGCAGCTTGCATTGAAATGTTTGAGTTTCCATATGCCCTATGCATTGTGTAAATACGCTCTCAGGCCTCCTTTGATTACATCTTGTACCATCACAGCACTCCAGAGGGCTGAGTGGGAGAAGAAAGCCGATACGCGAGTTAGCAGAACCTCTGGAATGAATCCAGCCTAGAGATAGAAAACAGAGCACTTACCCAACGCACTCTTTCTCAAAATCTACATAGCACAGCACAGGACACAAGAACAACACCAGAATCTTCCACTCTCGAGGAATTGGTCTACATTTCAGTGATTGGTCTACATTTCAGACTCAGTGATATTGCAGTACTTGGTTTAACTTACAGCAGTCATCTTTATTTCCAGTATAAGCATTAAAACCCGACCGATAAGGGTTTTTTGGGACCGATACCGATATTAGGAAGTAAAAAAATGCCGATATTCTTTGTGTATATTATAGTACAATACCAGTCAAAAGTTTGGACACTTTCCCATTCGTGTGTCCAAACATTTGACTGGTACTATATATAGAATACAGTATATACATAAACAGAATATATATACATAAACACATTTTTTGCAATGATCACTCAAATGTGGTGATCAAACACTTATAATGACATGACAGCGATACATACGTAATGGAGGCAGGGCATTTAACAATTTAACAATAAACTTTATTATCCAAAATGAGTCTGACATCAGACATATACCTCTGTAAATAAATACAATATAAATAGGGATGCACCGAAATGAAAATTCTTGGCCGAAGCCAAAACCGAACAAAATTAAACACTGGGCCGAATACCGAATACGGTTTTTCGAGTTTTTTTCCCCATGTATTTGGCAATTTTTTTTTTCACCATTGCATAAATTAAAAAGCCAAAATGTGCTTTTTACTGTTTTGTCTTGGTTTTTAAAAAAAAAAAAAATCAATTACAAAACGACAATTTAAAAATATTTAACACTGAACATTTTTAACATTCTAGCAGACACTATACCAACAAAGCACAATTTAACTTAAAATTAATAAGTTAGTAAAATAATAATTTTTGTCCATCAGACCTCCTTCTTGAATCAGGCATGTATTTTTTTAATTTTTTTTTTACTGTACAATTAAAAGCAGACTTGCTGAGAAGAGACTTCTTTTGTGCAGCTCTGTCAGAATACATGCAATGTGCGCGTGCATTAGAAAACATAACAATCTGCAGTGCATCTCTCGCTCGTCTGTGCTTGTAATGATTTTTCCGTCTTTCTCCGACAATTTAAATGCTTCCACACTGCTGACGTGTGTGCTGCATAATAAAGAGTGCGCGCCTCTCACTCTGCGCTGGTTGCTATTTGATAGCGTCATATCATTGTTCGGTATAATTTATTCGGTCTTTTCGCTTATTCGGTTCGGTTGCCGAACATTCGGTGCATCCCTAAATATAAATTCACTTCTCGCGCACTTTAATGCCCTTTGAATGTAACGTGTACGTTCCCTTGGAACTGGAATCATGGTGGAATTTCATGTGAAGTCCACCTCGCAGGGCACTTATGGTCGAATAAGACCACGCTTGAATGCTGCTGCCTGAACAAGAGACCTCCTTACTGAAGTTAAAGTGTTGACTGGTGTCACTATCTCGCGAACGCGCCGGCGGATCTCCACCAAATTCGGGGGATCCCTTCAGCTCGAGGAGCCCTCTCAAACGCCACCCTCCGTGCATCGGTAGCCCCCCGGGATCGCTTGATCGGTCGGCGCCGGACCGCAAATTTAACCACCCGTAGCTGCCGAACCCCGGGGGCTATCGACGCGGGGGTGGTCTCATTCGAAAGCGGGCCTCTAGATGTACACTCGATTCAAGTGTACAAGAGGGTTCCTCGAGCTGAAGGGATCCCCCGAATTTGGTGCGGATTCGCTGCGCCGTTACGAAAGGCAAAGCAGGATACCCAGGGCTCGGTTTACACCTATCGCCATTTCTAGCCACTGGGGGACCATAGGCAGGCTAGGGGAACTCATATTAATGTTAAAAAACCTCATAAAGTGAAATTTTCATGCCATGGGACCTTTAAAGCGTTTCATCCAGGTCGCCAGTAGCAAACAATGGAGCGCGCTCTGCTGGACAAACTAAGTAATAACACAATTTCAAGCATTTTATCTGCGTTATATGTTCTGTAAAAAAAATGTTCATATCGGCAGCATATTCACCGATATATCGGGGACAGGCTCATATCGGCCGATAATATCGGCAAAACGATATATCGGTCGGGCTCTAATAAGCATATCAGGTTTTGTGGTTTCTGCATATGCCATGCATTATAGCAGAGCAACTACAGAGGACCAGCTTATTGGATTTTTATAACTTAATAGCTCAAACTTGTCCTTCCTCGAGCCTCCCATTGGGGTCTGTCCTTCTAATCAGTCTCCTTTCCCCCTTCTCTCATTAACACCACTCTGGTCCTACTTCCCATGGGTTCACAGAAAACCAATAATGTGCAACCTCTTCATAGTCCGTGAAGCAGGAAGTGTGGTGAGGTAATGGGGTTCAGGTTAGGTTTTGTGGGGTACCATCGAGGGGTTCTAAACGCTGAACAATACAAAGGGAAGGGTAGAGCAGTGATTCATAGAAACAACTATTTCATTGGTACGACAATTAGATTACAATTTCCATGGTCTATTTAATGCTCAGGCCAGGCTCATTCTGAAAAATGGCTTTTTGAAAATCAAACATTTAAAATGGTAAGTAAAGAAAAAGAAGGCCATGACCAACTTTACTTCAGCAATGACTTAATGGCTACTGGTGGTAAAAAAAATAACCCTACTCAAAATACCATATTGACTTGATTAGTGTAGAAGACTAGTTGTGACACCACCACCATGACAAAAGATAGTGTATGCTGCTCTTTTCAGCAGGATAGTCAACAACTTAAACAATCACTTAGTCTCTTTAAAATGTTTTGCTGAGCTACGTAGGTGTTTCACCATGAGCTCTCATGTTTCTTTAGTATGTAGACACAGGGGTCTCATGTTGAAGTCACGTCGGAGGTACGATGAGTGTTTGTAGTGGTCTGGAGTGTGTTAGAGACACAGCTCCCCTGGTGTGTACACTCACTACAGGAGCAGGAAAGGTAGAGAAGCATCTTTGAAACATTAAAGCTTTTGAATGGCTCCCAAACTCCCTCCAGCAATGCTCATTATTAGTAATATCCCTTCAAGAATGTAGTCTCCCTTCCACCATCTGGATCCACTAATCAGTCTGAGGCCTGAGTGCTTTTGCAAAGCCAATGATTTGTTCCTCTTTTATGCTGACCCATGACCAGTGTCATCCAGATCCTTGGTTATGTTGCATGTTACACGTGTAAAATACCAGACGCTTAATGTGGCCTGTGCTGTTTTGTCTTGTTTTCGATTAACTGATTTACTTGAATTTTTTTAATACACAATCTTATTGTACAAGTCTCATCATTATCATTGAGCATAATATTCCAAAGAAAAAGAGAATGTTTGTCCTCATAATCTTTTATCAAAATGTACTCACTTGCTCTGCCACCAAAGCAACTTATCTTTTGTTAGTGTATTTTTTTTTCTTTTAATTTAACATTTTATTGAAATATGTCACAGGGTGGAAGGAAAGAGGGTTTTTAATGTTGCTTAATGTTGACATTAACTAAAAGGTCACTTTTTACATGATTCTGTAAGTCTTTTCTGTTAAAAAAAAAAGAGAGCGAGGCAAACCAAGAGATATTAAAACTGATACTCGAGATTCACTAACCCTGTTTCAAATTTTATGTTAGGGTGCAGTCATGTTAGCAAAATTTCAGCGGAATTTTCAGCTTTCAAACGAAGCAACTTTTTGTTGGTTAATCTGTATGACTAACTTGAATCCGTTGTGTAACAATATTAAATGTAATCATACCTTTAAACTGTTGTGATTCTTATCGGAGTCCTCACTTTCATAGCGGCTGCAAAGGGGTTGGGAATGGAGTAACCTATAGTCTCGCTGACTTTACAGATATGGGATAGCATTTGGGACAAAGCCACACTCACTTACTGACATTTTTCACAGTCTCACTGATAAATTCTTTACATAGTTTTAATTTAAGAATGATTTGGCTGTTGGTTATGGAATAATTATCCATCATAATGTATTGAATCACTAAATAACGTATATATCACAATTAACTGTTATGCGCTATTAACTGAAACACTCACCTCTTGATCTTTTTTCATTCAACAGATCCTGAATGACAATGTTTTTGTTATTTTTAGTTTTACATTTTTATTATGGTTTGTTTTCCCCAACCCTCAGAAAAATATCTATGTACATTATACATTCATCTTAATTATACCTCCCTCTGTGTCTTTCATTTACTCTACCTCTACAAAGCTATTTAATGCAGAAGGCATGGGCATTCGCAGATTAAATCATTTTTAGCTTAAGCTGACTAGAAACTGTATCCGGCTTACTGACAAGGTGAAAGCTCTCTTGATGCGAACAAAGTTTGTTTCCCAACTCCGTAGGAGCTTGGGGAATGTCTTAGGGGGTTAAACATTTATCAGATTTTGGGGGTATCAACCTCCTAACTTGGGGTGATGGTGGTCTGCTCAGAGGTCATATTAGTTGACATGCTTTGTGTTTGTTTTAGTCAGTTTAGTTGGCTAGTGGTTTGATCTTACCATGTGGTTTGTATAAATCGCAGATTTACAGCTCAAAATTTACAGCAGCAAACCAGAATTGTCACCGTGGCAGTCTGTTTTAGTCCTATCCAAACTGACCTCAGAAGAATAACTAATTTAAAGCAACATACTTGCAAAGGAATTGGTAGGAATTGGTGCATGATGTTTTGTTTAGGTCCTATGGCATAAATCTACATATGCGTTTTAACCTTTCTATACACAGTGTGGTCTGTTATCTGTGCCATTTCTTGCACATAGTTAAACACTCTGAGGTTTGAATCCAGTTTGAATTCCAGTATACCCATTTTGCTTCTCCGTCCAATTTTTTTGCTTAATGCGCCTCTTAGTAAAGTGGTAAAAATATTGACTAATTTTGCTTTCTGTAGTTTAGATGTCTCACCTGATGGAAGGCTGTTTACAAAGACTGATTTGGTGTAAAGGGTCAGCTGTTCCCGGATGGTTTGCAGCTCACTGGAGATGACTGCCAGAGTCTTCTCCAGCCTACCTCCATTCTCTGTCTCTGTCACTTCTTGCATGAGATGTCGGGCCTGGAAGCTCTTGGCTTGGGAGGCCAGACCTCCTCCCCCCCATTTCAAGCAGTCGTTTTCCAGTCGCTCCAGCCGTGCAGCCTGGTTTACGCTAACAGCCAGTAGCTGCTGCAGGGCTGCATCATGCTGCGAGGACTGATCAGCTGAGACCTCTCGGACACGGTCTAGCGCGTTCTGCAGACGCGTCTCTGTTTGAATCCCAGCCCGTCGAACAGAGCTCTCAACCGCAGATGCGCAAGAGCCGCCGTACTGTGCCACAAACTGTAACATCTCTTCTCTCAGACTCTGCAGCTCCACCTTGATGATATCATCGGCATACTGCAGGAGCATGTTCTCTTTCATTTGGGAATTTTCCAGCATTGTGAAGAGCTTATCCCACTTAGTGAAGACTGGGCCTTTGCAGGGTTCAGGGGAAGGTGTGGGGGTTTCCCCTGAGAGAGAAATCAAGAGAAATGAAAGGAGAGGAATGTAGAAAGAGAAAGAGAACATGAGTTTAGATGACATGGTTTTTATATGTATTTAAGGTGACACCATTGAGCTTGAAGTGTTAGCAGTGGAGAGTGCGTCATGGTCCTATGGAACTCTGTGAACTATAATAGAGTCAATATCACCATAGTGTGCCTTCAACCCCCACAATACTCAAAAAAATTGTTTTTTTCGCTTTGTCATATCATAAATAGTAGACACTCAAGTACTATAGAAACATATTAGTTGAGCTCCCACACATTTTTTTTAGATAGCTATGGGCTATTATTCAAAGCATAAACCATAAGATATGTCCACCCTGTCATGGACATACTGTATATATTACTGTTAAATACGTTTTCAATGCAAAATTAAGATGCTAATTATAATTTCTGAAAGGTATGATGTCCCTTTCCTAAACAGGGTTTTTTTTTTAAATATATAATAATAATAAATAATATAATTACATTTTCAGTCACATCGATATAATTGACAGGGTGGACATGTTAAGCTTTGGCAAAGCAAGTAAACAAACTCATACGAAGAAAATTTGTCAATTGAAAAGTCACCAACAAATTTCACCTCATCGGTTGAAATTCCCGCCACCGAAGAGACAAAAAATCTGTTGTCTTGATGTCACTAAAGTGGATGGCCTTTTCTGAAAGGGGTGGATTCCCCAATACGACAGGGTGGACAACCATTCAAGCGACATGGACAAACTCTTCTTTTTTATTAAATAAAAATATAGTTTTTATTACCAAATGATCAATACACTCAAATTGAGTAATCTCTTATTTAACAAAATATTAATAGGATAATTTTTTTTTAATTTTATGATTTGACTATATTCTACTCTTTCTATATTCTATTCAATTTAATGAGCAGTGCATGGGACATAGCAAAATAGACAAAAAATCTTTGATGTCACTGGCCTTTTCTGAAAGGGGTGGATTCCCCAATACGACAGGGTGGACAACCATTCAAGCGATTCAAGCGACCTCTTCTTCTTTTTTTTTTTTTTTTTTTTTAAAAATATTGTTTTTAATTTGTTAAAATGTTAAATATTAATTTTTTAAAATAAGCTTT